GACGGCGCGCAAGGGCGGCTTCTGCTTTGCCCACGGCGGTCGCAACGGCGACGCGCGCCTCGGCGACCGCGTCGTCGTCGGCAAGATCTCGGTCGAGGCGTACGACGACATGGACGACGACGACGTTGACATGAAAGCCGAGGAAATCCGCACGACTGAAGAGCCGGTCAACGTCGACTCGCCGAGCCAAAACCAAAAAGAAGAAGCTGCCGCCGAGAGCCGCCGCCCCAGCGGCTACTCGTGGCAGCGACTGCAAGAGACTGTGCTCAAGGAGTCGGTCGCCCAAGGCATCGCTGCGACCGAAGACGAAGATTCGGGCGACGATACGTCCGACTCGGATGCGTCTAACCCGTTCCGCATGCTCGTCTCGGCGGTTCTCTGCAAGTAGCTTAGCCTCCGATAGACGCCCACTGCATCTGCAGTGACTAATATTTTAATAGACGTTCCTTCCAACGGACAATATGACTGTTACGAAGGACACTTTCACGCGGAAACAGTCCGAAGGATATTTTTGCACTCTCCGTAGTGGTTGGGGTACCGACGCGTGCGATTCTATTTGGTGTGCGGCCCCCATGGTCGTCGGTAAAGTGACGACCGGGGTATCATGAGGTGCTTCGAAAGAGCTTTAGCGTGCGTCTTGGCGCTTCCAGTGTCGGAGGCGTCGCGAAGGTACCATGGCATTTGCGATTGGTCCAAACCTCTACATTGTATCAAGCACTTGATGTCGGAAGATTATCCAGTTGATATTTTATGGAACGAGAGCCATAAATATGAGCGGACCACACTTGTATCAAGGACTTGATAAAAAAGAATTATCCAGTTGATATTTTTGGCAACAAAAGCGGTCGGATGCATCGGTCACTTTTTAATTTGCCATGGTTGCCTCCGACTCCAAGCCAGCGCCAGATGACATCGTGTGGTCGGTCGGCTGGAGCGGCTGCAGAGAATGCGTGCTCTCACTTCGCGAAGAGAGCGAGGACATGGCCACCCCAGCGCGCCAGCTCCTCGGAGAGACGTACGTGTCCACAATGCGCGGACTCAAGGTCCACCGAAGCCTGGCCTCTTTTTCGCTGCGATGGAGCGACGTCGTTGTCCAGCACCTCGGCCGCATCCTTGAGGCCAGCACCGAGACCGACAAAGTCCAGTTGCGAGCAAAGACAATCCCGCCTCTCCAGGACGCATTTGAGATACTTGGCGCTCTAGTTCGCACCATCGACTCCGAGCGTGAGGCCTTCAACAGCGCCATCGGGGGCCTGATACGCTTCCGCGCCGAAGTGAGCAAGGCTTTCAACACCGAAAGAGGCCCATACGGGTACATGTATTTGGCGATCGCGGACAAGCTGGAGAATGCGCTGACGTGCTTCCAAGCAACCGAAAAAGCCCTCAGTCACGCAAGTTCAATCCTCAAGAGCGACGCAAGCGATATGGCACAGTGCATGTGCGTCCTCAAGGCGTTCCTTTCAGTGGAGACCATCGAGACGTCCCGGGTCGCGGAATTAGGCAACCGACTTATCGCGTGCTGCAACGCGTACAAGAGAAAACACGCCGAATACTGTCGCGTCTTCATGTAGAAACGCTGCTCGTAACGCGAAATCCATACGTTTGTCCTCTTAATCCTAAGGGTCGGCGAGCGACTCATCTGCCTCCGAGCCGCCGTCATTCCCCGATATCGCCTTCCAAGACTGGTCTTTTCTGTCGCGAAAGGAGGTACAGCGGGAGGTACACAGCGATGTTATACGCACCAGAGCAATACAGTAGCCCGCGAAGCGACTTGCACGTAGGCAGAGAAGCTGCCAGTGCCGCAATATCAAAGGCAGTTTACACGCAGGCTCACACCTGGCCGCGAGAGAGAAATGATGCGTGGAAAAGCCCTTGCAACGTCGTCGTCGCCGCCGCCATCGTTCGCTTCGAGTGACAAGTGCATTTGTCGCAAGGCTCTATCCCGAGCCATCGCCGCAATGTGACTCCACCGTTTCTCAAACAATATGAGCCCCGCGCGACGGGGCCATGCCATGTCATGGGGTAATGCACCAAGATGACAGCTTTGGACCACGAAGCACCAACGCACCGCGTGAGAAGGGGCGACGGAAGATCGCAAAGATGCGGCCTGTTGTGACGATCGCCACCATTCATTGGTTGAGAGCTTGCGGAAAAGGATCCCATTTCAGCCAATGATCGCATCGTATTTGAAACCACTCCGTTGGGCGAATTCAAAATTCACAGTTTGCTCGAGCAGCGCGAGTGCAGGAAGAAGACCCATGCTGACCCAAGCGCTCCTGCCGCTTCTCGTCATGGCCACTGCCGGCTTGACGTACTACAGCGCCATCGCTCCGACATGTACATGCTTCTTTGCCGGCGAGGCTCATGCAGCCTCCTCTTGCCTGTAGATGCTTCGTGGGAAGAAGACTGGATGGGCGTGGCCGAGGCTTCGCCCGCCAACACGAACGTGACGTGGTTTGACGACGGCGACGTGTACCGCTACCAGTTTGCCAAGTATGGCGAGAAGAAGACGTATTGCTTTTACCCGAACGCGACGCTGAGCTTCCGCATGGAGCCATTGATGAGGTACATGATGCCCTCCTCACCTAGCCTTTCTTCACACGTCTCTAGCCCGTCGCAGCCGTACGTCGTCCAGTGGCTTGGACAGTACGAAGAAGCGCGCGTCGTTGCCGATATGGCCGCCGGCTACATCACGCAGCTCCTGGTATGCTAATGCTACTATCGCATGATCGGCGAATGCAACCCCTATAGGAACTCGTGCCGCCGATTCGTTCGTTCCTCTGGACATGGAGCGACCTGCGCATTAAGCTCACGAGCAAAGCGCGCGACCAGCTTCAACTGTCGTACACGAGGTACGACCCACACACACCAGGGGATCCTCGTCACTAACCGTCTTGCAGTCCCATCTCGGCGCCGTGCCAAATCTACGAGAACCTCGACCTGACACCGTACGTACAAGAACACGTTTCGGAAAAGCTGCAGTACGTTCTGAGCCTGTTTGATCAATACATCGGTACGCATGGCGTTCCCTCGCCATTCACCAGACGCGGTGTTGATATCTTTTCTAGAATCGTACTGCCAAGCCTGTCGTGCCGGCTGCGAACTCCCCTGCGGCGGCTCGACCGACGAATGCCATATCAAGAAGAGTCCTTTTGAGTTTCCTTGTGTCACGGTGCATGGTCCGATATCGGGTATCCTTCTCGCCAACGCCCAAGTCGAGTTCAAGCTCGAGACCATGGCCTGTACGCATGTCGCCCTCTTGTGTACTACCGGCTATGCAGGGTGCTGTCTAGATGTCGACTTGGCGTTTGCGCAGAATCTGCTGCTCGGGCTCTTTGTCTACTTTTCGTCCGAGACGCTGGCGACGTACCGCCTCTTCCACTACGCACTCGGCGCAGCCATTGGCATTGTGTGCTCGATCGCGCTGCTCTTGTACCAAATGTACAAGCAAGCCCAAAACACGGCGCGCTTGCTGCCCGGCGGCAGCTTTCTCCAGAGCGCGTCGCTCGTTACGACGATGGCGTTTCCTGTGACCGGCCTCGTGCTGCTCCCGACCATCTACCGCGCCCTGCGCTACGTATGTACCAGAATGGCGCCCGCAAAGGTGCTCACACGCGCGTAGGCGCTCGACTTGCTCTTTCAATTTTGGCTCAGCGAAAGCGTCATGGGCGTGCCGCACCTCGGGAAGCTCTACTTTTTCTTCTTTGGGCTCATGGGCTGCATCATGGTGTGGTGGTTCCAGTGGTGGGCGCCCGGCGAGGAGGCGCTGGCGACGATTACGACCATGGACACGAACCCGGACAAGCACGACGACGACGACGTCCTGGAAGACATTCGCCGCATGGAGCTCGAGGTACGCAGACATTGTATCATTTAGATCTGTGGCAACAGTGCGGGAATCGCATAGGATGTGGCGCTGCCGAGTTCGCAGCAGCACCTCGCGTACTGCCTCCAGGCGTTTGGCGTGATGCTGCTTTTGCAGAGCACGTCGTCGACGAGCATGTCGTGTGTGGTGGTGCTCTTGGCGCTCATGTCGTCGGTGCTCCAAGCTCTGTACACTGTGCTCTTCTTTTGGTACTGCTCGGAGGTATGCGCTCGTATCCGTCCTTATTTTCAATGTGTGTTGTTGTCGACTAGACGCCGGGCACGTACACGGAACTCATTTCAACCGACGAGTTTGCCGCGCAAGCCCAGACGGAGACGCAAAAGGCGCTCAAGGAGCTAGAAGCGTACCTCCAGACGCACAAGGAGGCGGCCCTCAAGGTCAAGAGTCGCAACGTGAACAACGTCAAGGCCTTCCGCAGAGGCCGCGACCACCTCGCAGAGGACCTCCCGGAGAAGAACAGCCCCAACCATGCGACGCGGTCGTCGTGGTTGCGCTGCGCGATTCAGTAGATAGCGACGGTTGTGGATAGCACAAGGATGGCAAGTTAATTTTAGCGTCATTTTTGGTCGGGAGATGCCGCCTAAAAAGTACAACATGGGACGCGGATCGTGGCTCATCGGCGCCATGCTAGAGGCAAGAAGAAGAAGGCGGGCAACGAGGCGGGCGAATATCCTTTCCCATGTCCTTCTAGCGTCTTTCTTGTCAATGTACAGAGGGTTCCTGAGCCACAATGGGCACGGCGAGCGACCTGGCGCGGCGCCTCGAGGAGGCCGAAGCGCAGCTGCGTGAAGAAGCCAAGCTCATCGACCGCCTCACGCGCGAGAACCAGATCAAGCACGAGCAGCTCCAAGCGATGGAAGTCGCGCTCGCCAACGAAATTGAAAAGCACGAAGCGATCGTGCAGGTGATGAAGGACAAGGAAGTGACGCAGAAACAAGAGACGGACCACCTCATCGAGGTTACTTCGACGGAGAAAAAGGGATTGGATGCCAACAAAATCCATGTAGGTGCTCAACGCCAAGCTCTGCGACTACCAAGTGCGCATGGAAGCCTGCTGCACGCTCGATACGGCCAACGCAACGCTGCGATCGCGCGTCGACGAGCTCGTCCAGGAACTCGCCGATGAAACAAGGTACGCGAATACAGTGCATAGTGCTGCAAGACGCCAGTAGACCCACGTGGAAGAGATCCACGCGATGCGCCTCGACATGTTCAACCACAAAATGGCGCTGGAGCAGGTAGATTGAATTTGGTTCTCGCACACACCAAGAAGATGCGGTAGACCTTTCGGAAATCGCTCCAAGAGCTCGATGCGCAGTACCTCAAGAAGGCCTACAACGCCATGGCCGAGGAAAGCAAGGTCAACTTCGTGAGTATGCATACCCATGAGCTCAACGATGCTTGTGTGTAGAATGCGCTGGTCGCGAACGCCAAGCTCAAAGACGAACTTCAGATGCAGAGCATTGGCGTCGAGAATCTCATGCTCCGCTTCAAAGCCCAAGCCGACCAATTCCACAAAATGGTATCCTACTGCAAAAATGTGGCAAAATGTCAACTTTTTGTAGAAAGTCGAAAATGAAATTTTGGAAAAAGGCAGCTCGTTGCGGCTGAAAGAGGTACCAGAGAAAGCGAGCGACCACTCGAGTACACCCAAACTTTTAGATTTCGAGTCTCAAGACGGCCCAACTAGCCGCGGACAAGAAGGCTGCAAAAGCCCTGCTTGTACGTCTTTTGCATCTCGTACCTGGACGATAGACTTGCGGTACGTAGGAGCTGACGGAGAAGACGCACGAGACTACCAACCAATTCACCATGACGATCGAGGTCCGTACATCGCTATCAAGATCCTGCGATTGAGAATATCCTGCAGGAGGTCAAACAAGAGAACCGGCAGCTCAAGGTGCAGCTGGAAATCGCACAGGTTCGACGAGATGTGAAGGGATCCCAGAGAGATACACTTGTGCTAGAAACGTTGTGGGAAGTGGAAAGCTCGCTGCCGCCACGCCATGAGCGACAAAACTCCGTATGCTAGCGCTCGCTATGTTCTTAGACTACGTATTGCTGCATAGGCCCGTCGAGGGATGCGGGGACGTCGGCGACGAGCTACCGATACCTTCGTTGACGCAGGCACGGCGCCGTAGCTCGCTTCAGACGCGCGCGATGGAAGCACACATCAACTTTGATCCGCGGGAAATTTGGAGTGCATCGATGGCCGCCACGTCGCCGCTGCCCGATGGTTTGCGGCCGCTGGACCGCTGTGCAACTGCGCCCATGTACAGAGACAGCATCCACGTCCACTGACGATATGTGGTTCCTGCGTAGACCAACGCGCCACGAAATGCTCACGTCCCTCAACGGTGCGCTGAGTACACCGTCACTGCGATCGCTCACCAAGCTCAAGCCGTCGCAGTCCCAAAAACTGTTGCGTGGAGTAGTGCTATGAAGACACCCATTCGATGATTTACTTCTGCTACACGAATAATCGGACGACGAGCGCTACGGCGTATAAGCATACCCCGCCAAGTAGAAGGAACACGGAGGCTGCCTTGAGGAGCCATGCGCGCGGCTGCGGGTACGCATGATACACTGCCGTCTCGTCGTTAGTAGCAGTGCTGGGCGCTGGAGCGACGGGAAACTGCAGCGTGGCCACAAGCGCCCAGTGGTCGGAGAGGTGGGAGAACGGCCATCGCCCATCCTTCGTGTCCGAGATCCTGCACGGGTCGACGGCGGCGGAGGCGACAGTAACACCAGTCGTCTGGGATATCGGGGACTGCAAGAGAAAGATGTAGTCGATGCATTTGCCCGTTCGGTCGACGTCGTCGGCCGTCATCGTATGCCGGAGGCACCCGTGCCCGTTGCCGTTTGTGACGCCATGGTGCGGCAGCGCATCGACGAGCGTCCAACGGCGTTGCTCGAGCATCCCGCGAAGCGCAGTGTACATGGCGCTTTCTTCGCACCGCTGAAAGCGCGGTGCATGGAGGGAAGAGAAGATGGGGTCGTGGCGCGCGTCCAAGTTGAAGTCGCCAGCGATAAGAATGGGCGCGTCAGCGACGCAGGCGCAGGTGGCATGCACAAAGGCTGCGAGTTCGCGCAGCTGGTGCATGCGAATCGCGGTCGCGGCTTCGTCCTCGCCGGCCTGCGTGTGCGTCGTAAAGACATGCAGCGTCGACGAAGCGTCGACTTGAAGCTGCGCGTACACGACGCCCTTGGCACACACGCCGTCGCTGCCGCGCCCTCGCGTAAAGACCCACTGGCCATGGCGAACGATCGGGTACCGGCTGAGAATCAAGAGCCCGCCGTCCATGAGCTTGCGGCTCCAGAGAGACGGATAGACCGAGCCGGCGTGGTGCGCGAGGCCGCACTGCGCTGCGTAGCGCACGAGGTCGGGTTGTCGCCCCGAGCCGCCGACGAAGAGCTCCTGGAGACACACAATGTCGTAGTCGGCGATCTTCTGCTTGAGGAAGCGCAAGCGCAGGTCCTTGTGGTCGCCTCCGCGACCTGCGATCCCCGGCGGGCGCATGAAGACGTTCAGGCTCAGCACCCGCGCCGTCGCCATCGTGCAATCCGATTTGAAGCGTTTCGTTTTGGGCACGTGGCCTAATTAGGATAGCATGCAGGCGATCGTCGTGCGCTTGACTGCGTGCAGGGTTATGGACCAACTAGGCTAGGCTTCATACAGGAGGCGCTTCTTTTCAACACTCCTGACTGTGCTGCTCTACCCCGCTCGAGATGACACCGCGATCGTCACACAACATGCTCCAAGCGCGGGAGCGATGGCTCGTCGCGGCTTCGAACGCAGTGCAAGGTTCCGGTGGAGGGGCTGGTACGAATGCATTGTGGACTGCTTTTGTGTTTGCATCGTCGGATTCCTTGGCGCGTGCGGCAACATGGGCGCGCCGATCCTTCTTCAGGCGCGCTGCTATGGCCGCTGCATCTTCGGGCGGACGTACGGTGCGTCGCGTCATTTCGACTCAACGACATGTTGTCCTGTGGTGTTTGGCGTTGCAATGCGTGCCATTTTCTGCACTTGGCCAATGAGAACGTAGCTGCGGGCTCATTTTGTCCTGCACAGACACACAGAGACGACAGAGACGGCAGATTAAAGATGAAGCGCTTGTGGGCTGGTGTCACCACGAGGTTCCTATTAGTATTCCATCCAACTGGCGTAGTATTCGGCAAGGTGAGACTCTACTTTTACGAGTGTCTACTTGTGGACGCTGCATTTGGTGCGACGCTGGCGTCGACTGCTTCGCGACGTCGTAGCGTAGTTTGGATCGCACGGATGTACTCGACGAGGAGACGATCCTGGAAACGACCGATGGATGCGCTGCCACGTATGGGGGTATTAACGAGGCTCAATCTATTCTGGTATGCAAATACTTTTTTACGCGGGCAATCAACGTCTGAAGATACTTTCGGAGCCATTGGCTTTTTGGAGCCGGCCAGTCGAGCGTGGTAGCCAGCACGACCCGAGCGATGCAGCCGCGGAGAGTACAAAAGCGCGCCACCTCATGGGCTTTTGACAGGACGCAGCGTCGCAGGTCACGCTTCTCCATCGTGCGATACAAACACCAAGTTCACGCAGCGCGGCGATGGCTTGAACGCCTTTACAGCCCTCGGCGGCGCGAGTGATCTCGTTGCCTCAAAAACGAAATCGCATGTCCCTCTACGACCCGCTCTACCACCAGAAGCGCGCTGCAAAGCTCGCCGATGCCAAGTTGGCGGCCCAAGACGCCCTCATGCGTAAGCCAAGCCCGACGGCGGCCACGAACCAAGGTTCGCGTGCCACCGCGTTCGGGCGCAGCACGACCCCGACGATTGTCCGCCAGCGTGCGACGACAACTGTCCCGGTGACTGCGCGATCGATGATTCGGTCGACGCAAACGCCTGCCACGACGGCAGGGCGACCACTGACGGCGAGCAGCCGCAGCTCCACCACCGCCGCGCAGCGTCGCGAACCGGTGGCGAGCTGTGCGCCTGCTCCGTCAAGTGCGACCACGGATGTCAAGCCAACCGGCGCGACATCGACGACCATCTCCGAGGCGATCCTCGGTGAGCTGCGTTCGGAAGTTGCTACTCTCCAAGCGCAGGTCGTCAACATCCAGGCGAGTCTCGACGCGTCGCAGGACACGGCCAAGACTAGCGCCTCGGAGCTTGTCCTTGCCCGTGCCCAGCACGACGGCGATCTCGAAACTCTCGGAGATCAACTTCGAGCCTCGCAGGATGCCGCTGAGCATCTTGGGGCATCACTCGAAGCGTCGGAGCATT